ATATCCAACGACATCTCCCTGGAGGGGGGGGAGGCGGCCTCCTCCGCCTGCCCCCATCGCTGGAAGCCTTGGAGGCGCCCTCCGAGTTGGTCTCGCTCCTCGATTCTCGCTGTAGGTCCCTCGAGTCCTCGAGCCCTCCCGCCTGCGAGGTGGACTCACCCCCTCGCCCGCCCACTCCGGTTCTCGATCCTCGAACCATGGAGCGCTCGAAGTTCGACCCTCCACCTCCCTCCTCATGCTCCTACTCCTCCCCCTGCCCCTCCCCGCCCCCCCCCTCCCCCTTTCCTCTCGCTCCCCCTCCCTCCCTCCCTCCCTTCTCCCTCCTCCTCCTCCTCCTCCTCCTCTTCACAGAGAAGAGAAAGGACCATTCCTCCCTTCCTTCATTACTTTTCGTATGAATAACTCCTCCCTGTCGCACTCCGAGGCCAGCCAAAGGGCAGGCTGGGCGTTTCGCCTGCGACGTTCTCACTATTTATGACCCTGAAGCGTAAACATTGGCAACAGTTTCACACGTGGAGGGCGGGTGGTTTTCAGCATGTGGCTCTGGCCGTAGCTCCGCGCACGTACGTTTTCAAACTTTGCGAGAGTTTCATGGATTGAGGGCTGCGGTTTTCAAAATGTGGTTCGCGCCTTAGCGCCGCGCACATTCGTTTAAAGCATTTGCACCAGGTTCACGGATTCAGGGCGGTTCGTTTTCTGCATGTGACTCTCGCTTTAGCGCCGCGCACATTGTGCAGGAGTTTCGCGGATTGAGGGCGGTTCATTTTCAACCTGTGGCTCTCGCCTTAGCGCCGCGCACATTCGTCTTAACCATTTCAAGAGTTTGTTGTATTTCTATGGTCAAAGCACCAGACATAGTGTTGTAGACAGATTCAGGACTGTGAGGGTGCAACCGTTACGCTGATTCGGGGTGTTGCAGTCCACGGAATGGTGTTCTGGCAAGATTCAGGATCGTCAAGACGCAACATTCAGGTTGATCCGTGGCGTTGGAGTCCCGATGATTGCATTTTGGCTTGCTTCAGGGTCCTCAAACGGTTGTCTCCCAACGAGGCAGTTCCATCAGTGGAAAATGGACCCTTGTAGGGGAATCTGAACAGGGAGCTGGGAGGGAGGATTTATTCCCCATACGTTTCGTGCGGTTCTGGTTTTCTTCTCAGCCGCATCCCCCCCCCCCGCGACGAACCAACGCACACACACACCTCACCTTCACCTCACCTCCTCGTACTCCTGTTACGCAACGCAAGCAACCACATGACAACTCATTCGTGAACTTATCATATACACGACACGCAACACAAACATCCCAGCGAACCTTGCGCACCCTCATACCGCACCTGCCCCTCCTCACCCCTCCCTCATACAGCGCACATCCGGATTCAAGTACTGGCTGGCTGCTACTCCTTAATCCCGCCGCCGTCGTCGTCATTCACTATCCTTTCGTGCGTGGGCAGAATCCGACACCCGCACCTCTCCTCACCTCTCCTCTTCCTTCTCCCCTTTCCCACGTGCAACACATGCACGGCACGTACATGAGACACGCGTGTACACACATGCACACATTCGCCTACACATTTCACACAGCACTAGTGCACACCTGGCGTGTTCACGGCACCACACACACCAGACGCACACAACACAAACATTGCATCCACATCGAGGCACACGCCCACATACAGCCGTACGCGCCCCCACCCCCAGCAAACGCCACAATGGGTTGTGCTGGGGGTACGAGCGCTGTGCGTTGCAGGCTTGCAGGGCGTGGCCTGCGTGGCATTTCATCGACGGCACAGGGGGTGCGCTGGGGGTGGGGGCGCTATGCGCTGCAGGCTCGCAGGGCGTGGCAGGCGTGGCATTTCCTAAACGCCACAGGGGGTGTGCTTGGGGTGGGGACGCTATGCGTTGCAGGCTCGCAGGGCGCGGGGGGCGTGGCAACTCCTCGACGCCATCGGGGGTGTGCTTGCGGTGGTGGCGCTATGCGTTGCAAGCTCGCAGGGCGTGGTGGGCGTTGCATGTCCTCGACGCGTTCCTCCCTCCTGTTCCTCCCTCCTCTGTTCCAATCCTTTCGTATCATGTTTGCTCTCCTGCTCATCCTCCTCGCCCCCGCTGGAGAATAGGCGCAGCGTCGGTGCTATTGCTCAAGGCCATTTTCCGCGACCCCGAGCACCGCGCCTTGGACCAGGGAGACGGCTTCAATCATTATGACACGTTATCAAACGCGGGCCTGATCGGCGAATTCCCGACGCTTGGTGCAGTCCAGGTCCATCAGGACATCCGAGACCAGGTCCTGAAGGACGCACAATTCTAGACGCTTCGCGTAACCCCACCAGTTGGCCGCTGCGTGAGGCCTCGGCCGGTGCGTAGCTGTTGCCTCGCGCGTCGCCTTTGCTTTAATTTTCTCGCGTTCCCTCTGCCCAATTCGTCTCTGCGTAGCCCGCTTTGACCTGACTCGCCGCCCGCGCGTTCGCCCGCGGCCGCTGACTGAAAAAGGAAACCCACCAGTCCACCCGCCGGCCCTGCCCGCCGTGGTGATGCCTGAGGCACCGCCGCTTTAGGTAATTCGTCTTTGCGCGGCCCGCTCTGACTCGACTCGCCGTTTGCGCTTTCGCTTGCGGCTGCTGACTACAAGGTAACCCCACCAGCCCACCCAGAAAGGATGCCCAGAGGAATTGCCTCGATCAGGGAAGTGGGGCAGCGCACAGAGGAAGGGTCCCCCAGTGGAGGCCTCTTGCAAGCCTCTTGGGCGCCTGTTGGGGCCTCCTGGGGCCTCCTGGGCGCCTCTTGGGCCCTCTTGAAGCGCTCTTGGGGCCATCTTGGAAGACATCGATCAAACAAGATTGGAGCATTAATTAGCGCTGCCCCTCGGGAGCCCGAAAAGTCGCCTCTTGGGGCGCTCTTGGAGCGCTCTTGGGCGCCCTTGGGGCCGTCTGCCTCTCTTCGGGCCCTCTTGGGCCATCTTGGAGCCATCTTGAGGCCTCGGATGGCCATCGGAAGCGAAGGTGCCTCTGGGGGGCATCCTGGGGCCTCTTGGGGGTCTCTTGGTCGGAGCATCTTTGGGGGCATCCTGGGAGCCTCTTGGGCACCTCTTGGGGCCTCCTGGCCACCCCTTGGGGCCCTCTTGGGGCACCCTTCGGAGCGTTGAGAGCGCTCTTGGGGTAATCTCGGAGGAGATCGATCAAAAAAAGGGGGTTCTTTAATTAGGGCCTTCCTCCAGGAGGCCAGAAAATGGGGCCACAACCTTAGTAACACCTGTGATTGTGGCTTCTTCGCCGAGGCCGTTTTGGACGCTCCAGCTACCTGCGGAACCCCCCGTCCAGGTCCAGGGGAGGGGGTAGGGGGAGGGGTCAAGACACTCTCCAGATAGCAAGCCGTCTAGCTCACTCCCGCCCGCCCTCCCAACACATCAGTAACACCCGAGCCTCAGCACGTTCCGCGGTCGTCGTTTGATGGGCAGCAACTGGGAACCAAAACCGAGCCCATGTGCGCGACGCAGGGGCGAGGTGCGCCACGCGTGCCAGATGCTCCCTCCAGCCGCGCCAGGTGCACAACGTGTGGGGCACGCGCAGAATGTGTCAGGTGCGCCTGCGCACATGACAGCACACATCGGGAAACATGCCGGCCCCCACCATCCTATGCCCATCATTGTGTCTGGTGGTCTTGCGCACAGCAGGCCATACACCACCACCCCCGCCGTCCTTGACACTTCCGCTTGACAATGATCGGGGGTTGGCCGCGCACTATCCACATATAGCCGCGAGGTGAGGTGCATTTTGTATTCTGTGTTTGTCAGGGATGGTAGCCCTGCGCGCAGCAGGCAACATGCTGACACCCCCGCCGTTCCTGTCGAAAAGCAATACAAAGTGCCCGCGGGCCTCACGAACATGACTCCAGACTTTGCCCCAACTTGTAGTGTATTGTTTTTTGACAGGGATGGTGCAGGGGGCCCGCATCGGGTTGGTTGCGCATGCTCCGAATTTGGAGGCAAAGTGCGTTTTGTATTGTTTTACACAGGGATGGTGTGGGGGGGCCCTCATGGTGTGCTCATGGTTCCGGGTTTGCTGCCGACCGGGTGGAGGAGGGGGTGTTTACTAATAGGGAACAGTGGTCAAGACACCCTCTCCGCACGCAAGCTGTCTAGCTCACTCCCAACCGCCCTCCCACCACATAAGTGGCATCCCGTCTCGGTATCGCCAGGGGTCGCCACTGGATGGACAGCCATTGGGAACCAAAGCGGGCGTCAGTTGCGCGACGTTCGCCGCGGGCAACGTGATCCCACCCCGTCCGCATGGTCCAGATGCTGATGTGGGGGGGGCGTCAGCATTTTTTTGGGCCTGCGCAAAGCAACCACCATCATGCGGGCACCACCGCCGTCCCTGTCAAAAACAATACAAAGTGATCGCGGGTGGCCAGCACAATACCCACGACTTTGTGGCAACGTGCACTTTGCATTGTTTTTGGCACGGACAGTAGTCCCGCATAAAGCGGCTTCACTAAGGGTGCCCCGCCATCCCTGTCAAAAAACAATGCAACGTGCTCACAGGGCGCCAGCGCACTGTCCAGAGTTTGCTGCAATGTGCACGTCGTATTGTTTTCTTGACCGGGATTGTGGAGGGTGTTGGCAGGGAGGGCCCCGCAATGGGCATGTTGGCAGGGATTGTTTTTTGACAGGGATGGTGGGGGCCCTCGCGGTGTGCGCATGGTTCCGGGTTTGCTGCCGGCCAGGTGTGGGAGGGGGTGTTTATTAATAGGGAACACCGATAAACTCCTCCCCGAAGCTGAAAAAGGGGGTTGGAGGAGGAAACTATCAAGACCACCTACGCGTTAAAGGGTTAGTGGGATGTCATGTCCATGTTTACATCGCTCACCTCAAATCTTGGGGGAGCTTCTTTTTTTCAGCGCTAGAAAAGATGTCTTTGGATTCAAGAACCTACTCGGCTCGATCGCACGCTTCGTGGCCTCAAGGGGGACTCCACCGAATGTCACAGTGCTACCGACCGCATGCGCCCCCCCCCACCCAGTACAGAGCTTCGTGGCCCCGTAGGGAGCCCCCCTGGACGCCCCAATGCTACCGCCCGCATGCGCCACCCCCACCCACTACAGCGTTTCGTGGCCTCACAGGGAGGTCCACCGAAGGTCCCAACGCTACCGCCCGCACGCGTTCCCCCCCCACCCAGTACAGCGTTTCGTGGCCCCATAGGGAGCTCCAGAGACAGCCTCGGTGCTACCGCCCGCATGCGTTCCCCCCAACCCTGTACAGCGCTTCGTGGCCCCACAGGGAGCTCGTCCGACGGCGCCAATGGCACCGCCCGCATGCGCCCCCCCCACCCAGTACAGCCTTTCGTGGCCCAACAGAGCTCCACCGAAGGCCCCAGTGGCACTTTCCGAATGCGTCTCCCCCACCCAGTACAGCGTTTCGTGGCCCCATATGGAGCTCCACCGAAGGCCCCAGTGGCAAAGTTCGCATGCGGTTCCCCAACCCAGTACAGCGCTTCGTGGCATTATATGGAGCTTCGCCGAAGGCCCCGGTGGCACCGCCCGCGTTCGTCTCTCCCACCCACTGCAGAGCTCCACCGAAGACGATACCCACAACTGCGGCACTCACAGCTGCATATGGTTGGGTGTTTCGCCAGATTCGTTTCATGACGTCGACCTCCACAAGTCTCGATCCATTCTCCAGGACCGGTTTTTCATCCCGAGCTGTTTCTGACGGCCCCGAGGGCCGGGGAGGGACCCCAGAGTCCAAAAACATGATGAATATTCTCCCGCCACGATGTCTTCAAGACCCGAGGGGGGGTCTGGGACCGGCGCCCCGCTCGCACGCTCGCCCCCCGTCGAGTAGGGTGTCGATAACAATGGGTTTACCCCAAACTTGATTTCCCCGTCGAAGCTACAACAAAGCTGGAGCATTTTACGTATTGTTGAGATACTCGGTGGAAGGAATCAGTTATCCTGGCGAAGGACCCAACCATGTGCAGTTGTGAGTACCGTTGTTGCGGGTGTCGCATTCGGGGGATCTCCCATAGAGCCGTAAAGCATGCGAAGGGTGTGCCGATGTGGGGCGGGGCCGCCATGTGGGCGCTGCCACCGGTGCTTTAAGGCGGAACGCATTACCGGGCCGCGAGAAGAGTGAGGGGCGCGCCGCAATGGGGCGGGGGCCGCCAGTATGGCCTTCGGAGGAGCTCCCTGTGGGGCAAAGAAACAGTGTAATGGGTGGGGGAAACGCGTGCGAGTACAGCCACTGGGGCCTTCGGTGAAGCTCCCCCCATGAGGCCACGATGCGCTGTGACGGGTGGGGGGAACGCATGCGAACTTTGCCACTGGGGCCTTCGGTGGAGCTCCATATGGGGCCACGAAACGCTGTACTGGGTGGGGGAGACGCATGCGAACACCGCCACTGGGGCCTTCGGTGGAGCTCCCTGTGGGGCCACGAGGCGGTGTACTGGGTGGGGGTGGCGCATGCGAGTGCCTCCACTGGGGCTCTCGGTGGAGCTCCCCATGAGGCCACGAAGCGCTGTGCTGGATGAGGGGAACGCATGCGACTTTGCCACTGGGGCCTTCGGTGGGCCTCCCTTATGGGGCCACGAAGCGGTTCACTGGGTGGGGGTGACGCATGCGAGTGCCTCCACTGGGGCTTTCGGTAGAGCTCCCTGTTGGGCCGTGGAACGCTGTAGTGGGTGGTTGTGACGCATGTGGGCGGTGCCTCTGGGGCCGTCGGTGGAGCTCCTTATGGGGCCACGAAGCGGTGTACTAGGTGGGTATGACTCATGCAGGCGGTGCCACTGGGGCCTTCGGTCGAGCTCCCTATGGGGCCACGAAGCGCTGTATTGGGTGGGGTGACACATGTGGGCGGTTCCTCTGGGGCCTTCGATGGAGCTCCTTATGGGGCCACGAAGCGCTGTACTGGATGGGGGTAGCGCATGCGGGCGGTGCCACTGGGGCCTTCGGTGGAGCTCCCTTGTGGGCCACGACATGTTGCACGGGGGGGGTGACGCATGCGATCTTTGCTACTGGGGCCTGCGGTGGAGCTCCCCTATGGGGCCACGAAGTGCTGTACGGAGTGGGGGAAGCGCAGGGGGGAGGGAGAGGAGGGGAAGGAGGCAGGGAGGAGGAACGCGGGGCGCCGCCCCTTGGCCCCAACGCCACAGCATGGTCGGGGGAATGTTGGGGTAAGTCGGCGCTGCAGCCGATCCCCTGCGCGACCCCGCTGGAGGTGGACTCGCTGCTGCCCGGCGGCGGCGTGGCCGGCGCCGCGCTCGCCGCGGCCTGGCGCGCACGCCCAGGCCGCCTGGCCATCGTGCCCGGGGCGCTGCTCGCGGCCGGCGCCGTGGCGGGGGCGCTGCGCGGCCAGGCTTGCCGAGGGGGGGGGGGCGGCCTCCTCGGCGGAGGATATAAGTCGGGGGCGGCCACGATCAAGCGGCGGCGAAGCGTCCTGGCTCGCCCATGGGCCTGCCAGCAGAACTGTTCTAAGAACCGTTTGTGGTTTGCGCGACATGCTCTCAGAACATGTCTGGTCGAGACTGTCTTGTTTTAACACATCGGGTGCATGTTCTAAGAACATAGTTCTTGTCCTTCGAACATGCTTGGGTTCTGAGAACACGTCGTGGTAGGACTATAGGAATGCCGTGACGGTCGGTCCCTGCTCGACAAGAGCGGAGCGGGGTGAGGACCAGGGGGAGGTGGATACCATGGCGGGTGCCAGGATGTCTCTCCAGATTTCATGGCCCTTCATTATTTCAATGCGTTCCCTGGCCCACCGCTGGGCCGCGCACGTGCCGCTGGCCATGATCTGCGCCCCCCCCCCCCCCTCTCTTGGACGCCCCCCTCTTGACCGACCCCGAGAAAAGGTACACGCTGGCCCTGGGACTGTCGGAGACGGATCCGGGGCGAACAACTCCCCCAGATGTACCCTGGGAGGGTCTGGGGGCTAATTCTGAACGGATTTGGCCTGACCCAGCCGTCCTGACCAGTTTTCTGGGGCCCCAACCTCCACCACAAAAAATACAGGCACCATCCAATGGATTGTTCCTGGGCCTCAGGGGAGGGTGGCGGTGCGTAAATCACCACAGAGCTAGCGACTTTATACACCTCCACCCTCCCTGAAGGTACGTGCAAAGTTCGTCAGAGGGTGTCTGTGTACGGTAGGTTCGCGTCGTGTCCACCGGCGACGACCCAACCGCCGGCGTTCAACTTCGAACGCCGCTGGCGACCCAGAATCAGCAAATCGTTGAACGATTTGGCGTTTATGAAGCGGGCTAATTTTGAACGGATTTGGCCTAACCCCACCCTCCTGACCAGTTTTCTGGGGACCCGACCTCCACCACAAAAAATACAGGCACCATCCAATGGATTGTTCCTGGGCCTCAGGGGAGGGTGGCGGTGTGTAAATCACCACAGAGCTAGCGACTTTATACACCTCCACCCTCCCTGAAGGTACAAAGTTCGTCAGAGGGTGTCTGTGTACGGTAGGTTCGTGTCGTGTCCACTGGCGGCGACCCCGCCGCCGGCGTTCAACTTTGAACGCCGCTGGCGACCCAGATTCGGCGTTTCTGAAGCGGCCGATCGTTCAAGGTTGAACGATTCCCGCGGTGTCAGGAACTGCCGCGGGGATCGTCACGACGCGGACCTGTCGTATATGCTTTCGTGGCGGATGTCCCGCATAATCGGGGGCAACGAGAGGGGGGGCACAGGCAAAGGTACGGGGCCACATGCGAACCCTACCCCTACCCCCCACGATTTTTAAGGGGGAGGGTGGGGTTCACTTCGCTCGTGAGCTCCCAGACGACGTGAACCCCACCCTTCCCCTCGGAAATCGTGGGGGGTAACCCCAGGAAGCATTTAAGAACCCCCCCGGCGATATCGTAGCACCGCATTTTTTATTCGATATTCCGAAGGGCCGAAATAACCGAACGATAGCTGTAGCACCCGGACACGATGATGATGATGATGATGATGATGATGATGATGATGATGATGATGATGATGATGATGATGATGATGATGATGATGATGATGATGATGATGATGATGATGATGATGATGATGATGATGATGATGATGATGATGATGATGATGATGATGATGATGATGATGATGATGATGATGATGATGATGATGATGATGATGATGATGATGATGATGATGATGATGATGATGATGATGATGATGATGATGATGATGATGATGATGATGATGATGATGATGATGATGATGATGATGCTGATGCTGATGCTGATGCTGATGATGATGATGATGATGATGATGATGATGATGATGATGATGATGATGATGATGATGATGATGATGATGATGATGATGATGATGATGATGCTGATGATGATGCGGACATGGATGATGGTGCGGAAGGGTTATCGATTTGCCTGAGGGGGGGGGGTTCTTAAATGCTTCCTGGGGTTAGGGGCAGGGTTCGCATGTGGCCCCCTAAAAGGGGGGGCGTGTCGGCCCCCAATCGCCCACTGACTGCCGAGTAGGGGGCCCGATGGCCCCCACCCCGCCCAGGAGGGGTGCGGCCTCGCCATCGGGCGCCGGCCGCCGATCCACCGACGAGGTCCTCCTGCTCCTCCTCCTTTGCTCCTCCTGCTCTCTTCCTGCTCCTCCACCCCGCCCCCGCCACTGTTCGGATCGATTCGATCAACCCGTTTCGATATCATCGGTTTCGGTAGGCCCGATTCGATTCGGTTTCAGGTTTCCGATCGGCTCCATGGAAGCTTCGGTCCCCGAGTGTTCTGGTCCCCACAAGGCGTCCACCACCAGGGGGAGCGGCTCCGAAGGAGACGTCGTTCAGCTTCTGCACGAGAAGACGACCGCTTTGGCGCACGACGACGACATCGACAGCGCAGACCCGTGTAAGAACCGTACGCTCATGGTTAAGCTTCACGATGCGCTGGAGGACTTCAAAGATGTCTATTCCAAATTCGCTGATGCGAATGCGACAGGGGACTTCGCCGCCTGGGACCCTTGCAAGGTGTCAAAGGTGGCGGCGATCAAGACGGCCAAGATGATGAACCAGTCTGCGCACTGGAAGAGGCACAGCGCGGCCAAGGCCAGGGGAACGAGAAGCGACACCACCACCAGCAGGCCCCCCCCCCCCGGCGAGGCGGTCCACGATGCCTCCCCCGAGCTGGAGATTGGAGGCTGGCGTGACGCCGAGACAGGGCGACACCACCACCACCACCACCACCACGAGGACCCTCCTCTGCTGCTCGCTGCGACGGCGGTGCCGGGCCCGTGGTGCGCGCGCCGCGCTGGCGCGGCGGCGTTCCCCGGCGCAGGCGTTCGAGGCGGAGCGCCGCCAGCGGCCCAGGGTCGGCCGGGGTCGGGGGCGTTTTTGGGGCGCTGCGCCATGGGGGGCGGCAGGTATGGGGGGGCGAAGGGAGGGACACAGGACCTCCTGGGGCTCAAGTTTTTTTTTTGTTTTTTTTTTTTTTTTTCTTCTTTTCCTTTCCCAGGGTCAAACCTCCTCCCTGCTCCTCCTCCTGCTCCTCCTCCTCCTCCTCCTGCTCCTCTTCCTCTTCCTCCTTCTCCTCCTCTTCCTCCTGCTCCCCCTCCTCCTTCCCCTCCCCCGCCCCCTCCTCTTCCTCCTCTTCCTCCTCTTCTCTTCCTGCTCCTCCTCCTCCTCCTCCTCCCCCTCCTCCTCCTCCTCCTCCTCCTTCTCCTTCTCCCTCCTCCTCCTCCCATTTGGGGGCCGAGTTGTCCCCTTGAGGGCCTCCTGGGTAACGCTCGTTACCCGGATCAAGCCCCCCCCCCCCCTGGGTAACGCCAACGATCGTATCGGGAGAGGGGGGCGCCTTCGTTTTCGTTTCGCTTGCACTGCTTCAGGGGAGCGTCTGGAGCCAGAAATGCATCAAGGAGAAGTCAGCCAGTACGATTGGGCGACGCATGCGTGTGAAAAGGTGCCACCACATGCTGTGGTGCACAAGCGATTGATGCGCTGGCGGCGCGGACGCACCCCGGCGGATTCACGCCGCGGTCGCCGTTCTCGTTTGCCCTCCCGCCTCGGCCCCCCCCCCCCTCACCGACTCCCCCCCCCACCCCGGGTGATGCGACCGCTCCCGGGGAAAGAGACACAATACAGCGGTCACCAGGAGGGGCACGAAAGGTGCACGCTTCTCCCCTGAAAGTCGGGCATGTGCCTCTACAGGAGGAGCATGCAAATATATACAGAAATTTGTCGGGGGGCGACTTTTCGAGTATTTTATATAATTGTTTGATAGTTTTGGACCTTTTTTGAAGATGTTTCTAATTGTTCTTCCTAAATCCGCGTGGCCTGTAGGGGGACATGCCCGACCTAATTTTCTCCCCCCCCCCCCTGGCGTCAGGCCTTTTTCCGGACGTCGACTCCCAGAAGTCTCGACCCATTCCCCAGGACTGGTGTTACATCCTGAGCCGTTTCCTGACGGCCCCGAGGCCCGGGGAGGGCCCCCAGAGGCCGAACATGTTGAAACTTTTATTTCCTTCATCTGGTATAGGATATAGGAACCAAGCGCGCGAGGGGCTCTGGGCGGAATCTGCTGCGAGCAGCTGGTTTCGGCCCCGCCGCCGGGCCAATTCCTCGACACGTGGGCGCCTCCCGGGCGCCGGGCGGCGCCGGGAGAGTCAGCTATGCGTGAGCTGATTCTCAGACCCCCCCCTTGCTATCCCCCCCTTGCGCCCGACCCGAGTGAAGCAACGCCCCAGCGAGCGGCGCCATCGATGGCGCCGCTCGCTGGGCTTCGGCTTCGGCTTGGGCTTCGCTCGATGGCGCCCGCGCGCTCCACGCCGAGCGAGCGCGCGGGCGCGGGCCGCCCTGCCGGCTCCCTCCCCGGCGCCCCGCGCCCGCCCAGGGGAGCCGCCGCCGCAACAGCACCGCCCCGAAGGGCTCGAGGGGCAGCGCCGAGGCTCGGGCGGGAGCCAACGGGGGGGCCGGGAGCAGCTCGGAGGAGGACGACAGGTGTACTACCCACGCCGCTGCCCCTCCGCCCGCTCTCCTCTCTGTGGGTCTCCTCGGAGGCCCTCGCCGCCACCTCTGGGTTCGCCTCGAGGTCCTGGTCAGAACGCACCCCGGGAGAGGTCCGGGGGGCATCGGTATGGGCACCCTCTGGTTTCCCCAGCTCCCACAGTCACTCGAGGCCATCTATCTCCAGGGCTGGACCTAAACGCTGTTGTGCCGGATTTCGGCAGTGTTTCGTTTTTTGTTTTGGCAGGGAGGTCCAGGACAACAGGTAGAGCAAAACGAAGCATACTACGAAAACAAAACGAACAACACCGTTTAGGTCCAGCCCTGTTTATCTACCTGGCCAGCTTAGTGTGGTCAGGGGTTGGACCCTTCTCGAGCGCTCTCGGGTGTTGCAACCCCCTGTCAGGGTGGGAGGCTGGCACTCTTGGACAAGCTTCCTGCTCTTCGTGTAATGGAGAATGATGATTCAAATAAGTCTGGAGGTCGTGTTCACGCGACGGCGCCTATATTTTTTGAGTGTTATCCTTGTTCGGAACATGAGTTTTGCGAGGGAGCTATTGTTTAAACCGTTCCACCCTGTTCTTTTTCATCCTCATCCTGCATTGGTGATCAGTGCCGAGGCCACATTAACTGGGGGACGTCAAAACTTGGGGGTTCGGATGAGCAGCTCGGCTTTTGAGTGCAGCCGCTTTCTCGTCTGTGCCGTGCCTCCCCAGCCCGCTCGAGCCGTCTCTGAAACTGGCCTTCGGTGCGTGGCGGCATCCGAGTCTCGACGCCGGCCGTGGAAGCGTGCTGGCCGCTGCCCTCCTCCCCCTCCCACGACACGCCGAATTTTTGGGGGCCACCTGGGTGCAGGAGAGCGGCCCGAAAGGAGCTTCGGAGCCGAAGCAGAAGCACCTGCGTACACATCGGCTTTCGGTGGCCCGCGCGGATGTCTGCGGCTGGCGCTTTGGCCCCCCCCCCCCCCCACGGGCGCGCTCCGCGCCGATCCAGAGGAGCCCGCGCGTGACACTGGCAGCTTCGCTAGGAGCAGATGTTTCACGCAGAGCACATGCAGCGGGCACATGGGTCCCAGCAGGCTCTGGAAGAGGTGCACCCCTCCTTGCCCCGCGCGCATTTCGCGGGCTTGTAGTTGGGGGATGCCGGCCCAGTCGGGGGCTTTCTCGAGCGAGCTGGGCCGGGCGCCAAAATGCCTGCTTCCCGTCTTCCGGGGGCCGCCCAGAGCGATTTTCTTTGGTTCCCCCTTCATGGCCGTACTTTCGATGCGATGGGTCCGATTCGATATTAGCTCTGGCCAGTTCGATCGAATTCGATTCCAGGGCTGGACCTGAACGGTGTTTTGGCGATTTCGTGGGCCATTTTCGGTTCGATTTCGTTTTGCGGTAAAGGCGGATTGACGACAAAACGAGAGAAAACGAGAACACAACGAGAACGCAAAACACCGTTTAGGTTCAGCCCTGTTCGATTCCGCCATTCCGGCGACCCGATGCGGCTCCATCGTCGCTTGGCCTCGCTGCGCATCCTGGCTCAGCTCCGTGCCGGTGCAGGCTGATCTGATCTGACGCACACTCAGATTCGATCCGATCTCCCGATTCGATGCTGAATGATCCAGGCCCCGGGAACAAAAATAACGAACACTCATGCCACACTTATCTGTCAACGCCTCCCTCTTCCCGCACTGTTCAAAGTTGGCGGTGGGTCTGATGAGTTGCACCTCGACCGCAGTCTCCCCCGCGCGTGCCAACTTCGAGTTTTGGGGGGAGGGGGAGTGTTCAGTAGTTGTTTCCCTCTACCGCCGTGCCCTACAGTCAAGACGCTGAAATTAGCAACAGCTCGGATTCGGAAAGGGGCTCGCTATTCCTTTGGTCCTTCCATGGCGCACGTGGGCGTCTTTGGGGGTCGAACAGGGGCTTCGTGCCATATTTAGCATTCCTTACCGTAGCAGCATGACTGTCACCACCCACCGAACCACTCCAACTCAACCCGAAGGCCCCAATTTGCCCTCCATTCTCAGTGGGGCGGTTGGGGCGGCGCCAGGGAACATTGGAAACGCACATGTGGAACCCGTACCCCCACCCAACCCGAAATTGGGTCTTCGGGTTAGGTTTGGGTGTACACTCCCTTGACGGCCCCCCGATATTGGTTTCCCCTTCGGGTGGCAAGAAGCCTGCACGTACAGTGGAGACCAATGCCAAGAACCACCCTGCTTGCCTCCAGGGTACCCTGGGTTCTTGGGTTTCGGTGGTTTTGCGATGGAAAGCGTGACGTGCCCACACCAAGAATTAGAGGGCGTCCTGGGGTCTCCGGGTTGGGTTTCTCGTGGAAGGTTTCTTGTGGACTGGCCTCCACTGTATGCCTCCCTGGCCAGGCTGGCGGGGCGTATGTACCGATCCTGGGCCCAGGATGGGGCCTTCGCGGCACGCCCGCAAGAGGTTATGGAAGACATGGGTGCGACGCCCAACCGCACATGTTGTCCCAAACTGACAGCGGCTGCTGTTGGACAGGCGAGCTTCTGTCCAAAACGGACGACGCCCGCGGCGACACTGACAGCAAGTCCTCTTCAGAGTGGACGGGGATTGCTGCTGGTTTCACCCCCCCTCGTTTCCTACACGCTTCGGTTGTACCGAAATGCATAGCTCTCTCTCTCTCTCTCCCTTTCTTTGTCTCTCTCTCTCTATTCGGTTAGGATCGGCGTACGTGCACAATTCTCTCTCTCTCTCTCTCTGTCTTTCTCTCTCTCTCTCGCTCTCTCTCTCTCTCTCTCGCTCTCTCTCCTTGTTCTCTCTCTCTCTCTCGCTCTCTCCCTCTCTCCTCTCTCTCTCTCTCTTTGTTATCTCTCTTTCTCTCTCTCTCTCGCTCTGTCCTGACCCCCCGCGCTGCCTTCTGGCCCAGGAGGCCCCGGCGAAGGGGAGCGCCAGGGCCCCAGCGGGCCCGGCAGAGGGCGGCGGCGCCAACCGCAGCCGCGTGAAGGCCGCCGAGGAGGGGAGCTGCTCAGGGCCGTCCCAGGACCGCAGGAAGAGGAGGAGGAGGAGGAGGAGGAGGAGGAGGAG